GAAAATAGATTATGCTTGAAAGGAGCTCTCAAGATGGAGCTACTCTTTCTTGCTTGGTGGCCTGAAGGCATAAAAGGACAAGCATTTCATATCTACATATTATTATATTGAACAGTTTTGTGTGCATTGAGGATTCCTTTTTCAATATGGTTAAAATAATTTTAATAAGAATTTTGATATATACTCTAATTTCTTCCATATTTTGAATATATCCATTCCTATAGTTAAAAACCCAACACACCATCTACCTTACCTTCTTTTTGTACATAGCATACTATACTTGAAGGTATTGAAAAAGATATAATGAAAGGAGTGAGTGAGTTTTCATCTGTAGGGTTTTGGGGATTTTTAAGATTTCTCACTAAGGTATTTCAAAATGGCTCCCCATTCTATTCTTCATTGAATATAATTATCACATCTTTAGAATCTCACCTGATGATTGCTTCAACACTTTGCCATCAGATTTTTATCTTTAAATCATTTCCTTTCATCTTCAAAATTGTGTTATGGCTTCAGTTTATAAGTCTTCTATCATCAGTCTCTATCACTTTTTAAAGTGAATAGCTACTTTACCCACTCGCTATTTTACCACTTTAGGTTACAGCTTTCTAAGATATCTGAGTCTATGAAGAAGATTGGGTAGAAAAAATTAAGAAACTTGAAGGTGGTTTGAAGAGAAGCTTTAATTTTCATAGTCCTTCTCAAATGACCAGAATCCTAATCAGATTTTAAGTCAACTTGAGTTGACAAAAAATACATATTGATATATTGCCAAAGACAATGGATAAAGACACCTAGAACCCTCAATTCTAGGTAGAAATCCAGAGAAAAGGTGGTCAATTTCACAAATACTTAAGCTCTTGAACATTTGATGAAGATAGGTAAAAAGGTCCTGGGAGGTGAAGGGTCAGGGAAGCAACTGTTTAAAGCAGAGCTGATTTAGAGCTTGAAAGCGGGAAGGCAAGACAAGAAAAAAATGTGAAAACAAAACACTCCAGACAGCACACTAGGAGGAAAGGAGAGGAAGGAGTATTATCATGGTAATAAGAGAGCCCAGGCTCCTTCCAAACCGAATGAGGAAAGCTGTTTTTGTATACAGGTCCCTTCTAGCTTTGCTCTGGCTTTAAACTATTCATTTTCATGTGTATGTGCATATGTGTTCATTCACACAAATATGTGCACATTCATTGTTTACATCAAAAAGTCAGTTTAACCCTCTGCAACTCCAATCGTTCTCCAAGAAGAATATCTGTTGTTTGGGTATTAGAGAAAGGAGAGGTGGATGGTTTTGAACATTATTAGAAAGCCAGACATAAATTAAACCTAGATGGGTTTAAAATGTTGCATCATCACCATCTCAATATCATCAGGAAATGGAGCACACTATAAAACAAAAGAATTAATCAGTTTGTACAAACTAATTAACTAGGCAATCCTAATGGACTGGGAGAGAGTGTCAGGCATAGTAGCAGCCACATCCAGGAAAAATGAGGTCAGAAATGTACATATGTATGTATGTAGAAATATGTGTGGATATGTTCATTAGGCATTTGATCAGTATTTAACCTGAAAATGTGGAAATATTATTACCTATCATGAGACTATGGAAAATATGAAAAATATGATGAAATACTTTTTCTTCCTGAAAGCATGTAAGATTATTTTTGGATGATGAATAATGTATCTTATATAACTATAGTAGAAAAAAATATTTATAAATCACATCCTAATGGGCTAAATGGTGTTCTCCAAAAATATATGTCTGTGTCCTAATCTGCAGAACCTATGAATGTTATCTTATTTAGAAAAAGCCTTTGCAAATATAATTAAACTCTTTAAAATGTAATTAAAATCTTGAGATTATCCTGGATTGCTTGGGTGGGCCCTAAATTCAGACAAGTGTCCTCATTAGAGGCACACAAAGGATAGATACACAGAGACACAGAGGAGAGTGATGTGAAAACACAGATAGACATTGGAGTGTTGAGGCCACAAGCCAAGGAATACCCATATCCACCAGAAGGTGGAAGAAGGAAGGAACAGATCTGCCCTAAAACCTCTGGAGAGTTCATGGTACTAACAACACCTTGATTTGGGCTTCTGGCTTCTAGAGCTGTGAAAGTATAAATTTCTGTTGTTTTAAGCCACCCAATTTATTGTTGAGGCAGCCCTACAAAACTAATACTCCACATCAAACCCAGATTTCTCCAGGCTGCTTAGGACAAAACTAATATAGAGACGTATTTATTTTTATCTGAGCTAATTTAAAAAATGTAAACAATATTGATGATAAGGGTATGGCAAAAACTGTGAAGGTGATACATAAATAATTGAAGTTGGGGAGACAAAAAAATCACTGTGAAAACAGGAGTTATTTACGTGAAACAGTTGACAATTAGAGAACAAGAAATAAGTTGAGCTACATGAGTGATACAGATAATTTACCATTCCAGAAGCTTCAGTGCACTAAATCTTAGTGAGGGTTGGAGTTATGAGTGAAAGTTTTATAGAAGATATGGAATTGGAATTTTGGTCTTAAGGAAAGTGTGGGATTTGGTAAATTAGACAGGCTAACTGAAGCACATTCCAGACAAAGAGAACAGAACAGGAAAAGGTGTCACTGAGAACCTTTTAGAAGTGTATAATCCAATTAGGTAATATTATAGGAACACCGTTAATTTTCTTTGGTATAATAGTATTGATGAAGTTATATAAGAGAATGCCATTATTTGTAGATGACTCATGCTGAATTATTTAGGGATGAAGTCTCTTGATATAAATTACTTTCAAAGGTAAAAAATGAGAGAAAAAAACATATAGAAGAGAGAAGCAGAGAATGAGAGGCAGGGGGAGAGAGAGAGAATATATATATGACTATATCAGAATATGTGTCAAAATGTTAACAATATTAAATTGGAGGGAAGAAGACATGTATGATACAATGTGAACCCTAGAGCTCCTCATACACTTTGTCCAAGAAATCCCACCTCTAGGACATAATGAGAAACTAGAAACAAAGAGCATGAGACAACCAAATGTTCATTCATTATATGGTACAGTGATATAGGAATCCAAAGATGGGGGAGCGGCATGTGTGTAATGAACTAGACAGTCATCCACAAATTCTACCTCATGAAACAAACAATTCATATAATAAAATAAACCAGGAGATTTCTTCACTAGTATGTTGCCAGTATTGTATTGTTATAGAGCAAAAGCCCTGGGCCTTTGTCCCCTAGCACATGGCCAGTGTTCTGTGGCCATGCACCACAGGCACCCTGGCTTAATTAAAAACAAGTTATATTAGAAGTGACAAGAAGCAAAATATGTGCTTAGATTATCTATTATCCAGAATTTTCTATACATTGAACTAATTTCAAATGCCTTCAAATTCTGGAAACTTAGTACACTTAAACAACACATGGGAAAACACTACTGTAATTTACTTAAGTGTACTGTGATTTTAAAATAAGGTAGGTGTGTGTTGTAGACAACACTTCACTAGAATTTTTCTTATTACAAGTCCAATAGATTTTTATCTAACACTTATATTCTGCTTCTTCTTAATAACAACTAATGACTAAGCACCAGCAACCAGCAGATGTTTACCAAATAACAAGTTTTGGTGCTAATAGTCCCTAAATGGCAACAGATACAACTAAGGCAACAAGACATTAAATTGGGTTTAATATCACTAAAACAGGACAAAGGTATCTCATCCAGATGCACATGTAACTTAAATTCAGTTGTACACCATGGGCAAAACATTTAATGATTAAAAACTTATTTTGTAAAATATGACTCCTAAATCTAAGCCAGACAGTTTATCTAGTGACTTAAGTACAGAAATGGAATGGTAATGCATATGCAAAACTGTATACTCAACTTGATAGTTGATTTTCAAGGGTCATTTTGACTATATTTGGGTTTCACTTATGGAATGAATTTAGAACTCAACCCTGAGCAAAATGGAACTTTTGCATCTAGTACAGTGCTTGGCTGTAAAAACAGATAATCTCTTTTAAATCATGTTCTGGGAGTGTCCAAGTTCATAATCTTCTTATCTGTAAAATAGCAATATTGAGAGTATTTATCTGTGATAGTTAATTTTATGCCAACTTGGCTGGGTCACAGTGCCCATATATTCGGTCAAACACTATTATAAACTTTTCTGTGGAAGTATTTTTTTTGATGAGATTAAAATTCAAATCATCAGGTTTTAGTGGATCACCCTCCATAATGTGGGTTGGATTCATTCAATAGCCTGAAGGCCGTAATAGAGAAGGACTGACCTCCAAGCAAGAAAGAATTCTTCTAACAGACTGCTTTTGGACTTGAGCATTAACTCTTCTTTGGTTCACTAGCCTGCACCATCAGAGTTTGGATTCAACAGAATTCCACAATCATGCAAGCAAATTCCTTAAAATCTCTTGATGATGATGATAGACAGATAGATAGATGTAGATAGATGATAGATATATAAATACATTTTTATTTTATATAGAGATATGTATATTATTATATATGATATATACTTACATCTGTACATATACAGAGATATAGATTATATGTAGATATATAAATACATATTTTATTTATATTTATAAACATAAATATAGAGAGAGATTGAGTCATACACATTCTGTTATTTTTGTTTCTCTGGAGAACCTAAAACAGTATCCAACAATGCTATTCTGAAGATTAAATGAGACAATGCATTTAATATTCAGAGTGCCTGAAATATGGAATATTGCTAGATAAATGGTTGCTGTTGTCTACCAACTGTCTAATCTTGCCCCTACAGCCTTGATCCCAGAATCTGTTTCTTTTAGGTGATTTACTCCCTATATAAACCTGAAACCCAGGCACTCAGATACTTCCTGGAAATACCCCTTCCTTCACTTCTTCTCAGTTACCAACATATTGTTAGAAAGAAAAATGAGCTTCAGTTCTATAATGATTACCAGATACTCAACACTATTATGGTTCAATATTAGTACCTAATTTTCCTGAACGCAGACCTGTTTGCATACATGCATTGAGCCACCTTCTGAATTAAGTTGGACCTCCAAGTTGTTTATGAGTTGATCCATATCTGGAAAAGAGACAAGGGAAAGATAATTTTAAAATAAGATCTAACTACCATATCATACAGTATGCCATTTACCTTGGTTACACCTATTTGTGTTTTATGAACATTATTTTTCAGACTTACCAGATACTGAGAAGTCAGTTTTGGAAAACACTCAATTTATATATTTTACTCACCAAGATGGCCCTGGCTTGTCCACAGTAATATCAGCAAACCCTCCCCTCAACTTCTGTATGCATGTGAATCTGTTACTTCCAGTTTCTCCAACCTGTCCTACCTTCATAGGAATATCAGCATAGCTACAGTTTCCAGAATCCTTCCCTTCCTGGTCTACCTCTCCTAAGAAGTTCAATGCTTCCATATGGATATTTACCCTGTTGAGATTTTTACCAGTCAGTGCCAAATCTCTCTGAACATTTTATATGTCTACCTCTCTTAAATATACAAGCCAGGTGGGGTTAATAAAGGCATTTTCCTGTTAGATAGTTTTTTTTCCTATGACTTGATGGTTTCATTCAGCTGCCCAACACCATCACAATCATTCACACTAGAAGTCCTACCAGCACTTCTTCAATCATATTTCTTTCTATCTATGTACAGTCTAATCTCATTAGAGAAGAAAACATTATCAAGGAAGATGAATCCTCAACTTGCTTTTAACTTAGTTGGTCAGGTTTTAGATCACTAAGTGTCTCCAAGTCAATTATAATTAGTTTCCTCCATTTATGACCTGGTTGCATTTCAAAAGGTAGCCCATAAATCTATTGTTTTGGATGTCAAGTACATTTGTCCATAGACATGTTCATTTTATTGGTCACTTCACAATAGCCATTTCAGATCTAATGCAGTTAAAATACAACAAATGCACAATCAGCAGGATACAAAATTATAATACAGCCACACAAAAATGGAAAAGGTAAACCTAAAAACAGTTCCTTTATTGAATGTCAGGAACTGAGGAAACCACTCCTAATTAGATGGCAATAATACACAGTTTCTATTGGGATTAGGAAAGCTTCTAGGCCACTATCAAAGAGTTTGGAGAATTTTGACACTTTAAAATATCTCATTTCATCTCAAAACACATGGATTTTCTATTCTTTGATCCAAGTATATGACTAGAAGAGCTCACATATATATCCACCATTCACCAAATATTTATTGCATACTTATTATGTGTCAGAGGTTATGCTAGGCACATCATTATCAGTTTTGTATCTAGGTCAAACAGACATGGTGAGTCAACATACGTAGCAGAGAGCACAGAACTGGTAGTTAGATGCATAGGGATCATATCCTATAATCTTTGTCAAGGCATTTTTCTTTCTAAGCTTCAACTTCTTCATCTAGAATTAAAAGATTTCAAACTGTTCTCTGCAGATTCCTAAGGCTTCTATGAAGCCTCCTGGTGGGATGAAGTTAATGAACGAAGAAATATGGTAAGGAATAAGCACGGTAAAAGTCAGATGAAGAAAACTCTGATTTCTATTAGATTGTAAGCTCTTTGAAGTCAGAGATTTTCATCTTTGATGTTTTTTCTGTGATGTATTTCAAGGGATTAGAACAGTGCCTGGTACATGGTAGGTGTTCAATACAGTTTTGAAGGTTTTTGATCAGAGAAACAGAAAAGGAGAATGAGGAAGTGTGTTTTTTCTCAAGTATAGGAATTAGACGAGAGTGGGAAATAAAAAAAGAAAATTACAGAGGTTACATATGAGAGCTAGAATTAACTATGAAGTATGAAGTGCCAGAGAGGCCCTTTTTTCCTAATTTCCAGGAGGAGGAAAAAGGTGTGATGGTAGAAAAAGAATGTTAGGTCAGACAACTCTCAACATAGTCCACAGAGGGGCACCATGAAGCCAGGAGAGCTTTCTTGGTTGCTGCCAGAAAAATCTGCAGGAGTGGAGAGAATTTAGTTCCCCTCCATTCACATATCCTTCAACCACGCCTTAATACTTTTAGCCAGGAGAACTCAGCAAGAGCCATCTCCTATTCTTCTATTCCTATGAATTATAAAACAGCAAGGTTGAGGAAGCAGAGTGACTTCGATAAGCTATTTAGCCCCTAGGAGCCTCAGTTTATTCACCTGCCACAGGTGGGTACATATTTAATAGGGTTAATGTGAGGATTCCATGAATTAGTCCATGTAAATGCACATGAAAAAGTTGTTGGCATATAAAAAACCTTCCGATATAATTATCTATTGTTATCATTATCATCATTATTATTGTTGATGGCCAGAATCTTAAGCTCTGGCCCAGAAGGATATCTCCTAGGCATCAAACAGGTCCTTTACACTCAATGTGCTCATAAACCTTCACTTATATTTACAATCTCATCTCAGTTTTTAGCACCACCATAAACCCAATCTCAGTTTAAAAACCTGAGGGTCAATCACCTCTGACTGCTCTCTCTCCATCTCCAGCCAATTGGTTACCAGCTGAAATAAATTCCACAGCAAAAATATCTATTAAATCTAGCACTTCATAATCTCCCAGTCACTTCCCCCTCCAGTCCATACTCCACATTACTATCCAAGTGTGGTAAAATGGTAAGTGACTAGGGTCACATCCTGGCTCTGCAATTTCTTAACCATAAGGCCTTGGGCAAGCTTTTCCATCTCTCTGTCTGTTTCCATATCTGTAAAATGGGAATAATGATGGTACCAGCTCATAGGGTTGTCATGAGGATTCATCAAAGTAATACATGTTCAAGTGTTTACAACAGTTTCTGGCACAAAGAGGCATTGTCTTCTGTTTCTCTCATTATCAGGTGAGGCCCTCAATGTTTACCCAGTCTTGGTCCTCTCTGTATCTCTGTCTTTCAGCAAAGTATCTCCTCTATACAATGTGTTAGTGCCCAATGAATGAATGATCATGGCAATAAGGAAGGTTATTTAATAGCAATAATATTCTATTGCAATATTAAGTAATACTAAAATTACTTAATAGCAATAATCAGGGAGCCTGAAAAATATGTCTTGCCCCACCCACATCACAAATACTTTAGTCAAATGATATAAGAGAATAGCTAACAATTAGGAATGCCTCAGCCATTTCTGGTTAGTGTCCTCTCACCCAAAAAACAGTCAATTGGAATACCTGAACAACATTCTAAATGTTGGTAGGAATGACTATAGGGAAAGCTATCAGAAAGGTGTTTAATCTTCTCTTTTAAAATAAATATTTTCTTCAATATTTCTTCAATATTTTAGCCAGCCAAAATTTCTTCTTCAATAAAAATACTTCAATATTTTAGCCAGCCAAAATGTAAAACTGAAGGAAATTAGGGCCTAAAGGATGGTCTTAAAAAAAGCTTGATTTTTTTGAAAAGAGGATTTTATAAGCCTTTTGCTTTTCTCTAGAGTGGAGTTGCTGTTTTAAATGTCTGGGGCCAGACAGCTGCACAGAAGCTGAGGAAGTGGAGAGGAAATACCCAAAAGGGGTTAGGGTATATCCTAGACCATTGAGATGTGAATCACACGGGTAGGAGGGCTTCAGAAGCAAATTAACTACTTGAGAAAATAACCATTATTCTGTCTGGATTGGCTCCTCAAGTCTTTGTGTCTAGAAGCTGGACTTTCATCTAAGGGAGGGGGTACTGGAAGATGAAGCAGAGGAAAAGATAGGAAGGAGGCCTGAGCCCCATCCACAGGACATCAGTGTCTCATATATACAGAACATTACACCATATTCCAGGTACCATGACCATAGAAATTTGATGAGAGTATATTTGTTTGTCATGTTCCCATTAATTTTGTTATACAAGTGATACTTTCCATAGTGATCTCCTTGTTTTATGAAAGTGAACAGTGTCTCTAAGGGACAGGGGCAGGTGGCTGGCTAATAAGAACACATCCTATCCCTTCCCTGAGAGGGAAAAAAAATATATAGGGATAAAGTGAGAGGTTAAACCTTTAAAGAGGGAAGCAAAACAGAGTCACTGGGGCCTACAACCTCAAAAGAAGGCAAAGCATTGGGAACCCTGACACAGACGTAAGAAGGTACCTTGTGTCTTAACAAGGTAGAGTATTTAGACAATACAAATAGTAATCCCTTATGTGCATCTACATAGCTTTGTAGTAGCAAAATAGCTTTCATATATCATTCCCATTTCAGATAATTTCCCATTTCAGAATTTGGAGGCCCAAGGTCACATAGTTTAGAAGTGGTGGAATTAGAACTTGAACTCTTATCCTCTGAGTCAAATTACAGTGCTCCCTCCCTACTTTCTAATATCACAAATACCACAAGAACCTTCTTTCTGAAAATCTGCTCAAAGAACAATTTTAAGGACAACAAACCCATCATTTTGGAAGATACTGAGCAGATACCATTCATTTTCAGATTCTGACCTATTAAGAAATGCTAGAAATGGTGAAAAAGGAAAATCAGTGTTTTAAGGTTTTGAGATTATAGGTAGTCTTTAAAACATATTACTTGTTTTTAATATTAGAAAAAGATAATTAAAGAACAAGTATAGTACACATATATTTTAACTGTATATCTTCCAGGGAGATAGAGACCAGTTCTGAGAGGGACCTCTGGGAAAACCTTCAGAACTGAAGCTACTCTGCTACATGACATTAACAATAGAATAATGTTAAAAGAACAATAATTGCCAACATTCACTGAGTACTTACTATGTGTCAGGTACTGTTCTGATAAAAGAACAAATACTTATATTAGCTCATTTAATCTTCAAATTCTAGAAGTGGGCACATAATTTCCCCATTTTTAAAGTGAGGAAACTGAAGCACAGAGAGATGAAGTAATTTATACTGAAATCAACCAATGAGTAAATGGCAGAAGAGAGATTTGAATCCTTAGCAGTCTAGAGCTATAATGAAGTTATAATGCTCCTTGACCTGAGTGCCAGTGGGAACCCCCAACCTCTGCTTGAAGCAGATCACATAATGGAGGGTGAATGGTTGCTAGAAATGAAATGTCTGAAAAAGGAGATTACAAGATCTTCATTTCCTGTAAACAAGGTCACACTTATCA